CACCCCAAACCCGCCCCAGTCTGAACCAGGGGGGGCAGCTGCAGCTCCCCACTCTCACCCAACCCCAACCCAGCATGACCAGCCATCTCCCAGCACCTCCAGCCACCTCTCCAAGCACCATGGTGCCCACACGTGGAGGTGGTGCTGTCCCTCTGACCTGGGGGAAACCCCTGACGGAGCAGAAGAGGTGAGTGCTGTAGCCCCGGGTGGTGGTTCGGTCTGTCAGGGGCTGGGTGAACTTTGGAGGCTCCATCATGTCCCTCTGGGGGATCTTCTCTGGCTGGTAAGTGGTTTCTGAGGAAATAATCAGTTCTGGGTTGAGGCAGAACTTGGGCTCCCGGGCTGACCAACATGTGGTCACAGGGTACCCAAAAACCCTTCTGCTCCCTCACACAGGCCGGGTGTCATCACCCCTGCCCCGAGGACCTGCTCTCAGCCCAGCCCAGCCCTGCCTCATCCAGCCCCTCCACGTCAGTGCCCAGTCCCTGCTGGGGTCAGGGGAGGTGCCAACCCTCAGTGCCACTGTGACCCACCCTGTGACCCACCCTGTGACCCACCCTGTGACCCACCCTGTGACCCTGGGCCAGGCACCTCCCTGGATCTGCCACTCCATCCCCAAAATTCAGCACAGAGAAAAAAGGGCTGGTGGGCAGAGCCCCCCACTCCCTGAGTGCTCCCAGGGAGCAGGATGGAGATGGAGAGCAGGATGGAGATGGAGAGTAGGATGGAGTGGAGAGCAGGATGGAGATGGAGAGCAGGATGGAGCAGGGCTGAGGGAGGCTGCTGGCAGCTTTGGCCCCGAGATGGGCCCCTGAGGGGTCTCTGCTGGCCCTGAGCTGCGGGGCCAAAGACAGGGCTGCCCCAGCTCCTGCTTCCATCTCCCTCAGGGATGTCCGCGCCTCGGCTGCCCCCGAGGGGGCTGCCCACGGCACGGAGAATGAGGTGTGGGGTGCGGGCAGGGCACCCCTGGGCTGGCCCCGGGGCCACCACAGGATCACCACCCAACACCCGGGGAGCCCCCGCGGAGTCGGGACCCCTCTTGCCCCCCCCCTCCCCCAGGCCCGAGGCCGCGGGTGTCCCCACTTGTCTTCTCGATGTGGGCCACCCCGGCGGCCACGGCGGCGCTGTCGCTGAGCCCGCAGGAGTTCTCGGAGAAGACGCGGAAGGAGTAGGTGTTGCCGATGATGAGGTCGGAGATGGTGCAGCTGGTGCGGGTGCAGCGCTCCAGCACCGTGAACCACTTCTGCGAGCGGGAGGGAAACGAGTGGTGAGGAAAGGCAGCAGAGCCGGGGATGGAGGAGGGAAAGGGAACTGTGAGGAAAGGCAGCAGAGCCGGGGATGGAGGAGGGAAAGGGAACTGTGAGGAAAGGCAGCAGGTCCCGGGATGGAGGAGGGAAAGGGAACTGTGAGGAAAGGCAGCAGAGCCGGGGATGGAGAAGATGGCTTTTGCCATCCTTCGCTACGAAATGGTCGGTGCTTTGTTGTATTAATTTATATCACACCATACCAGAAACTTCTCTAACTATTTGCCTTTCTCCTTTTCTTTTTTTTTTTTTTTTTTTTTTTTTTTTTTTTTTTTTTTTTTTTTTTTTTTTTTTTTTTTTTTTTTTTTTTTTTTTTGCTAAAATCGAGACTCCTGTTTCATCCCTTCCCTCTGGGGCCCCATCCACATACCAGAGATATATAAAGTCCTACATTCTATATATGAATATATAGAGTACATACACAACCCTTTAAACTAAGAGGTTGATGTCACCATTTCCAATAAATCTTTACCTGCAAATATTGAATTGATCTGAGCTGCAGCTGTACCAAAAAAAAAGTGTTTGTTTCTTTGTTTGATTTGTTTGGGGTTTTGGGGGTTTTTTTTATAACCACACGATGGAATATTTTTTTAAAAATATTAATCCTTGTTGGACATAACTTACCGATGAACGTGCAATGCCAAAAAACAGAGAAAAATGAGGCAGAAGAAGTGCCTGGAAAGTCTTAGTGAGAAAAGCAGAGCAAGAACTGTACAAATTGATGTGTTAAAAACGAGCGGGGTCTGTCCCGTGCCAAAGACCTCTCAGTGCCTCTCTGCACCGGGGCTGCCCAGACTCACCCCGCTCTTCTTGTCTGACTTCTGCACCCTGTAGCCCTTGATCTCGGCGTTCCCGTTGTCCGCAGGGGGGGTCCACTCCAGGGCCACGTTAAAGCCCCACACATCCACCAGCTTCAGGTTCTGGGGGGGCCCAGGTGGCTCTGCAAACACACCCCCCCCAGGTGACATCCCGAGTTGCTCCCCCCACGTTCTGAGCCTCGAGCTCCTCATTTCTGATCTCTGCTCCCTCTCCTGCAGCTCACGAGGGATGATAAGCCATGAGGGGTGAGGGCTGGTGGGAACCCTGCACCCCCAACAAGGGGATTCACTTCCATGACCCTGGACAAGACCCCACTGGAAGAGGGGCCCTGGAGTCCTTGCTGGTCCTGCCCTATCCCATCCCACCCAGAACAAGACCTACCCAAAACCAAGGAGAAGAAATAAGCCCTGGAGAAGCTGTGAGGGGCAAGGGCTGGTAGAAACCCTGCACCCTGAATCAGAGGAGTTCACCTCCATGATCCCACTGAAAGAGGGACCCCAGAGCCCTTCTCTTTGTTGCTTGTCCTGTCCCATCCCAACCCATCCCACCCTGAACAAGACCTTCCCACGGCCAAGGAGTGGAAATGGGCCCCGGGGTGTTCCTGCCCGTCCTTACCAACCACCTGGATGTCCAGGATGGCCCTGTCCTCGGCGCCGTTGATCCTCACGCACAGCTGGTACTGCCCCGAGTCAGCGCGCTGGGCCTGCCGGATGTAGAAGATGGTGTCCCGCGCCGTGGTGCGGATGTTGACGCGGGAGCTGTCCAGGGGCTGGTCCCCCTTGGTCCAGGTCACCTCGGGCTGGGGCTTTCCCTGGAGCAGAGACAGATTGGGAGCCACTGGACCAGCCTGCTGTGCCCCCACAGAGCCCCAGGGAGGAACCTGCAGCTGATCCCTGCCAGCCCCAGATCCCTGCCAACCCCAGATCCCTGCCAGCCCCAGATCCCTGCCAGTCCCAGATCCCTGCCAGTCCCACCAGGGTCAGGAATGGGGAGCCCTCAGGCTCCGGGGATGAGGCTGGAACACACCGGTTCCCCAAATTCCTCACTCTCCCAGGGCTGCAGTCCCATTTCCCAGGTGCTGAGCTGAGCCCATGCTCAAGCCCAACAGCACGGGCCTAAATCCAGCATCCAGAGAAAAGCCTGCCTGGAGCGTGGCCAGCACAAGGTCCCAAATTTCTCTGGGGCATGTCCCTCATCTCAGGGGCCTCTCACTCCCCCCTGCTTGGCCAACACATTCCAGGGCTGGTTTTGCCCGTCCCAGACTGTGGTGATGATGTTTTGGTGATGTCCCATCCAGGATGAGACAGAGCAGTTGAGGGGACAACCTCCAGCTTTTCCCACCAGTGCCAGCATCGCTCCCATCACACAGCCCGGCCCCAAAGGCAGCTGCTCCCCTCGAGGGGACCCCCAGTGTTGAGCTGTGGGGTCCTGTGGCTGGACAGGTGGGCTGAGGCAGCAGCAACAGTCAGCCCATGTCCTGGTGTGTTTGGGGTTGTTCCGTTGCCAGCACCACCAATAACGGTGTAGCAGGGGAAAAATGGGAGCTGGGCAGGAATGGGAAAAAGGTTCCCACCTCATTTCCCACCCTTGGCCCATGAGATACAGGACCAGGACAATCAGACCACAGCTGGCCCCAGGCATGTCATGAAAAGTCACTGCACGACCTAACCTGGAGTGAAAACACCTGGGGGATTAAATCCCACCACCACCCACCTACCTGGAAAGGGATCATGATGTTCACGGCGTCCCCGACACGCCTGACGTAAGTCTCCCGCAGGTGACGAGGCATCCGGATCTTTGGGAGCTCTGGGGACCAGAAAGGCGGGTCAGGAGACCAAGGAGAGCACAAGGAAGTCACCCCCCACCCCACACATCCCCCTGCTTGGCCATCAGGAAACCCACCAAGAGTCATGGCCACCTCTTCCCTCTCGTCTCCTGGACAGGTCTGATTCCCTGCAGGGCCATGGCCTGTATCCCAAAACTGTATCCACCCCTGGGACACCAGGCCACAACCCAGGGGATTGTACCCTGCCTGCAGGTCATGGAGACAACGTGGGCCTGACCAGGAGAGCCCCAGCACGACCCACGTGGGAACGAGGCTGGGAACAGCATCTCCCAGCTGGGAAACATTCCCTCCCCAGACTTTCCAGAGGTAACACAACCCAACCTCCAGCCCCCCCCACCTCCACCTGCCTGTGCCATTGAGGAGGTGCCTGGGAGCGGCTGGGACAGCCCCAGGCTCGTGACAGGGGACGTGTCCCCAAGGGAACACAACAAAGCCAAGGAAAACACCCCCAGAGGAGGCTGAGGGAGGGATTGTGTCCTTCTGCCCAGGGTGAAAATAGAACCTGTGTAACTCTACCACTCGGGGATCCTTCTGGAGAGGCTTTAGGGGGGCCCCTCGTGAAAGAGCTGAGTGTCTGTGCCTGGATTAAAGGTGCAGGAGCTCTGGGGAGGGGGCACGGCCAGAATTAAACCAGACTGAGCCAAACAGCTGTGAGGGTGGAATCCTGGGACACACCCGGCGCTCCCAGATGGCTCCAACAGCTGAGGACGTCCCTCCCATGCTCCTGCTGCGGCTCCAGGGACCCAACCCTCCATCCCTGCTGCCTCCTGGGCTCGTCCCTCCCTCCCTGCTGCCTCCTGGGCTCATCCCCCTCAGCAGGGCACAGACACCTGAGCCCCAGGGAGGAATGGGAATGCCGGGGGTTCCCTCAGCTCCCTCCGTGTGCCGAGGTGACACTGTCGGGGAGGTAGGACAAGGTGGGTGGCCCAGGTGACACAGTGTCAGGGTGGGGAGGACAGTGTTGGTGGCCCAGGTGACACTGTCATCGTGAGAAGGCATTTTCCCTGCCCCAGGTCCCTGCAGAACGGGTCTCCCACCCTGCTCCTCCCTCCCTTCTCCGTGTCCCTCTCCTGTCCCCAAGCCCCTCGAGCTGTCCCCGAGTCTGTGCCCGCTGCTGTA